AGGGCAAAAACAGTTTGACTTTATGATAAATCGATTATATGCTGAAGGCGCTGTGTGATGAAATGCAATCGCTATCGCCTTTCTAACGAGAGATGATGGAGGTGAACAGTTTCAGGATCAGATCCCCGTGGTGTGAATTAAACCAATGTTTTCTTTTGTCAGTTTTGATGCTGATAGTTATGATAAAGAATATTTTCTTAAATCACACCAACGTATCTAAGTTCTCAAGTTACACATAGTTAATGCAGTTCGGTTACATGGTATTTCCTGTGATTCCTGTATTTTGTTATTGCACTTATTTCTATCATATGTAGAGACCTGTTGGTGCTTTAATGATAGAGAAGCTTTGTTTTTCTTGTGGCCTGAAATATTTTTGTAGCAATTGTTGTTGCTTCTTTGAAAGAGGCGTTTTTATTTTGTTCTTGTGGCTTGCATTATTTTTGCAGGACTTGTTGTCCTTTTTATGAAAGAAGTGTGTTATTTTTTATTGTGGTTTTTATTATTTTTTGTTCCGTTTATGATCTAGGATAAACAGGAAAGTTGGAGACATGGCTTCCTTTGGTTATGATTCATATCCGAACCTCCAGATAAATGTCTCTTAGAAAGAGCTAAGGGTTACATCCTTGTTTTATGTGTGTGTTTTATTTCACTATCTGGCATGTCCCTGAGAAATTCCTCATATTTTGTGTGTTATCTATTTATTATTTGAGTCAGCTGATTATTTATAACACTTATGCCAAGCCTTTTTGGTTTTGTCTTCCATGTTAGAATTAAAATCTTTCATTCCATCTATCAGTAATTAAAATCATCTCATTATATGATTGTTATGTACTTGCGCATTGGATGCTTTTCCTCTAAGACCCCATTTCCAGAGATTAGATCGATCTACTTTAGATCGACCTAACTCCCTGGGGGTTCACGCTAAATAGCTGTCAGCCGAGCGGACACGAAAGTTAATTACCCTCCTACAGCTTGTAGTAGGTGGGACGGACATTTAAGCCGGATTATCTGACAGTAATCTAGTGAGACTCCCCGCGGGGATAGATCGATCTAAAAGCTCTGGGAATACAGCCTAAGAATCAGAAAGTCAAAATGATCACCTCCAGATTACATTGTACAGATTACATTGTACAGGCTCTCTACTGTGTTGTTAGTTTTATAACATATATGTAGGTACAAAATACGGTTACATGCCTATACCTCCCCGCACTGATACTCCCCCGCACCGTACATCCCCGCACCAATACTTATCGGTGCGGGGGAGTATCGGTGCGGGGATGTACCAGTGCGGGGAGGTATAGTGTGGGGTCATATCGATGCGCTGAATACAAAAAATTACTAAGGGGGATTATCGGTGCGGGGGAGTAATGGTGGGGTGGGGGGGGGGAGTAACGGTTTGGGGGAGTATCGACATGACCCCCAAAATACATGCGGCATGATGACTGGGAAAAAGATTTAAAAATAAATACATTTTAGGATATAAACATAAAAGTTAGTATAAACTAAAAGCCATAAAAATTGAGTGGTCAGCAATTGGGTCACAATTGAAACATCCTGCTTTGAATGCATCAACATTTCTATGCCTTGAAAATGATAATTGTAAATTCTTTGCATTCTGATCGAACACGTTTGACCAGATCTGTTGCAGTCCAGGCATATTTCAGTGTGAATTTGGCCAACAGTTTCTCACATAATCAGATTGACTCATCACTTCCATGTGTGGTGGGAAAGGCATGGTCAGTACATGAACACAGAGTGGACAGTGGTCACTCAAATATGAGTGGACAAGGGAGTTTATCCTGGGGGCCTGAGGTGATCAATTAACTTAGACCCCGTTCCTATACCTAGATCAATCTAGCAGGATCAACCTATCTCCGAGGGTTTCTTGCTGAATTGCATTCAGCTTAAGCAACTCCACTGTATTTCATGCCTACCTAAGCTGTTAGGGGGTAAGTTACTATCGTTTAGCGGCTTCAGTAGGTGTGCCAGACATCTAAGCCAATTAATCTGAATGTAATGTAGCAAAAATCATCTTTGAGATGGGTCGAACCTGCTAGATTGATCTAGGTATGGGAATGGGGTCTTACTATTCCACATGGCACAATGGAGACTCTTTCTCTTTACATCTGGCCATCAACATAAACCGTATCATCAATCCCACCTTAATTTTCCATTAATGTCAAACTCGGAAGCTGTCACACAGATGAGGGGTCAGTTGAGATGACCTTGGCTGGTCATCAAAATGGGACAGGATAAGTGTCAAACTATAACAGGGATGAAGTTCTCGCTGGGATTTGGCAAAGATGGGATTCATTATAAGACCAACTTCTAGATTGGGTGTGGGAATGAGAAAGAGAAGCATTTTGAAAAAGAGACAAATGTTACAAATATGTATTTATTTATTTAAGAGTATTTTGGCGTGTCAAATGGAGAATTAATAGTTTAACTCGATCATGTTAAAGCAGGGCTTAAAAATGAATTTAGGTGTAAATTTCTTACAAAAATGATCTTGCAAAGTTGAATTTTGTGTTGCAAACCCCTCTTAAAAGAAAGATGTTCCTATCTTTAAATCTAAATTTCCAAAATCGTGCACAAAGTGACATTTTATTATAGGGTTGACATCACAATTGTGAAACTATAAAAAAGCATTTCATAGGTTATCTCATTGAAAATCTTAATTTCAAAAATATTTCTTTCATCTTGAAGAGATTCATTCAATGATAAGAGAGAAAAAGCATTAAAACATAAAAAAGTGACAAAAACCTTTTTACCCAGGTTATCTCTGTAAACACATTTATGAAAAGATTTTTAGTTTGGGTCCAATTACAAGGTATATAAACTCCGTATGATTCAGAGTGTAATAAAAAAAAAGGAAAGAAAGCAATCTTGACATGGGTTATCTCTAAAAACACCCAAATGCTGTTCGGGGTTGTAAAGGCTATAATTTATGTCATGGGGTTATCAGTATTACAGTATATGGCATGCATTCAGGTGTCTTGACGAGAAACAGGACTGCTAAAACATAGCTGTGGCACTGCTAAAACATAGTTTTTATACTCAAAATGTGTGTGTGTGTGTGTGTGTGTGTGTGTGAGAGAGAGAGAGAGAGAGAGAAAGAGAGAGAGAGAGAGAGAGGGAGAGAGAGAGAGAAGAAAGAGAGAGAGGGAGAGAGAGAGAGAAGGGAGAGAGAGAGAGTAATGGAAGGAGGAAGAGAAGCAGGAATGAGAGAAAGATATGAATGTGCATGTAGGATCTCTCTCTCTCTCTCTCTCTCTCTCTCTCTCTCTCTCTCTCTCTCTCAGTACCTACAGACATTCTGCATATACATAGTTATAGGTACTGTATGATGGCAGGTTGTTTGTATTACTGAAAAGAAGGAAAACTAACCTGCTCAAAGCCAATATAAAACATTGATATCCTGATGAAAGCTTGCATTACAGAAGTGTGTAAGTTGTTCAACAGTGCATACATGTTCCTATTTATACTTTTACCTGGATTTTTATGTCAGAGTTAGTATTTCTAACAACTTTTTTATTACGGCCATCATTAGCTGTGTAGAGGTAACTCGTTCTGACTACATAACTAAGTGCTCTTTAAATCTCAGCGTGAATCACTCGCGGGCCTTATTTTTACATTGCGTTACATCAGGCCAAGGAAGTCCTAATGAAATTTGATTTCACCTTTTTTTTGTTCAGTTCGTTGACTGCCGTTTCATCACTAACTGATGGTGGCAGCAAGCTCTATAACAGAACAAAGACTGCTGTTTACCAATTAACAGAAAACTTAGATTACATTGCATCAGCCAAGTGCTGAAACCTCGATGCTGTTTTACTATTTTTAAATTCTATTTTATTTTATTTAAAAATACAGATGACATAGGCCAGTGCAGTGAAATGGCAGTATTTGATATTTTGCTGGGAAATAAATTGTGGATTTTCCTCCTATCCCTGTCATTTATTTTTCTACAGTTACCTTTCCATATTTTTTGTTTGAGTTTATCCACTAGCTCTTGTACATGTAAGGCCAGTCTAAAAAGGTATTCCTATATATTATATTGGCATATTGTCATGTGATAACTGTAAAAAATTGATATATGGTTAGCAAGTTCATTTATTATTATCTTTGATCTTTGGTAATAGGTTATATTTCTATCTAAATGCAGAAAAAAAGCCAGAAGGGTATTACACAAACTACCAGAAGGTATATCATTTTTTGGACATATAGATATCTATAATATTAATGCATGATATTGATAAGAAGGAGCACAAGCATGTCTGTAAAAGCTTAAGCCAGACAATATAAAGTGGCTAGCATTGAAAAAACTTCTCAAACAATAGAATTCACAAGCTGGCAGTTTTAGCACCACTTTCTCATGACTCTCAGTTAAAGAGATCTACGTGAGTGTTGACACAGGTTACTTACATTGTTCTACCCTCCTCAATGGGAGAAAGGGTTAATTGAAAATGATCAATTTCAGCACGTGATATCATCGTAAGTTGTGTAAGAATGAGATAAGACTTTGTGAATGTCAAGTGCCAGGATAGGATTACAACACTTTTCTTTAATTCCTTGATAAAGCAGAAATCCTGTGTATTTTGATCTTGGTACTGTGAGATAAAATATTTTAAAAATTCAGCAGATGGATTGTGTAACCAGAATGTGGATCTTGGACTTGATGACTTCTTAATTTTTTTTTTTTTTTTCCGATATGTGAAATAAATTATTGCTCACTGATATAAATTTGTGTTATTTGTCTTAATATTTCCTCTTTTTTTGCAGTGTGCAACATATCTGTGATTACTGTAAAGAAGAAATTTTATCATAGAAACCCTTTAGTTTGAACAAATGTCTATTACATCTTATTTATGAAATTATATAAATGAATATGGTATTAAACATGTTACATCTTGATTAACATTAACTGTACCAGTTACAAAAAAGGATTGAGACATAACTGAATTTTTACTACAAGTTTATTCTTCGTTATTTTTCCTTTCCAGATATTAACGAATGTGCGATAAACAATGGTGGATGTGAAAAGGAATGCTGTAATGCCATTGGCTCATTTTACTGCAAATGTCCGCAGGGATTTAAACTGGCACAAGATGGAAAAAGATGTATAGGTGAGTGTCAGGTGTCACCTGTCAGGTGTCACCTGGGAGGTAGCCATGAAGTATGTAAGTAGGTCTGTTGTTGTGTCTGATGTGTAGTAGAACCTTGTGTTACATGTGATGTCACATTTTTTTGTGATGTCATATCTATTTGTCTGTGATGTCACACTGGAGATAAAAGAAAATCTACCTTATCTCAGCTTTTTTTTTCTTTGTATCAGTATGTCAGTGAGACAATTGTTTTCAAATTTTTAAGGAAACTGATGCTTCAATTGTGTACCTTTTAAGGCTGGGATTCTAAAAATGTTGTGCTTTGTTGTATTTGACTAAATAGTATCTTTGTGACATCACCTGCATATTGTGACATCATTTGTCTTGTGTGACATCATTCGTCTTGTGTGACTTCATTTGTCTTGTGTGACCGTCATCCCATTTTGAACCATTTTATGTTATTTTAATTTAAACTTTACAGGCATTTTTTTTTTCTTTAAAAATATGAGAACCTTGTTTTCTGTTTACATTCTGTTTTCATTTCCTTTTGTAACATGAACCTTAATTTTATTGGTCTAAACCATGCATTAAAGTATATATATAATTTTTTTGCCCTGGTATCGGGGATTGTTTTGCTTATCCTTGCTTATTCTTTCATTTTCTTACTGCTGCTTCTACATTAAGACATTGATGAGTGTATGTCGTACAATGGTGGATGCCAAAACACGTGTCGTAACACACACGGTGCATACGTATGCGAGTGTCCAGCTGGATACAGGCTTCACACAGACAGGAGGACATGTGTAGGTAAGTAAGGGTATATAACAGCCAGTATGATGAAATCAAAGGTAAGAATTAATCCAGGAATGTGACAAGTGCCCTTGTTTTATTTTTGACTTTCACAAAATTTGCTTGTGCAACTCAGTATAGTTTTTGTCTTTATATACATAATATGAGGTAATCTATATGAAGGGGCAGATGGATGGGGCAGAGATTTTAATTATTAATTAGAACTTTTAAAAAGCTTTTGACTAGTAGCTGCAGTTTATTTTATCAATCAAATCACCATCCATCGAGGAAATGAGAAGGTCTGATCCCATACCACTGCCATTCCGATTTCCCTCATAATTGAAAATTACTTCAGAATGTGTTCCAAACCATTGATTCTGTCAGCGTTATTTCTTTCCATTTTGGTTGTGAGCCAAGATGCAGGTCGTTCAGCATCGATCCACAGAGGTTCTTTCAGATCTTAACCAATTGTTTTAAAGATTATCCTCAATTTTGGTTTACTAGAATTTCATCACATTTCTTGAGTTGCCACTTTGCTGGGAGTCTGTGTGTATTTAACTGAAAAAACTCTTGGAACCCTCGCCCCTAAAAATTAAGTCGATGCATCTTAGATCCTGTTCAGTATTGAGCAGTTATAAAATAGAGATTTCCAAAGCTGTGTTCCCAGTCAGATTTGGTTGATTTTAGTTTAGTAGGTTGTCTTTTTATGGTAATGATGATAGTGATAGATTTATTCTTACATGGTGCATACCAAATTGTTTCACCAGTACCACCAGTTACATAAGTTTGACTTACTATATTTTTTGGAGATATAAAAATACTGCTTCAAAGAAGATAAGCACAATAAAAAATCTTCAATTCAAGATAATATTTATAAAGTATTGACTATATAAATTGGATTAAAACACTTGTATCTTTTTAAATGCCATTCTTCAAAATATATATTTAAAATATCCAGAAAATTGGATAAGCTTACCAAATTGGCAACAAGTTTTATCCCCTGCCCACTACCCCAATAATGGCTGTGTACTGTTGCATGAAATTCTTTTGACATGCTAATCATAATCAAACAAGATGGGTCACACTGAGTTAGGTGGGCCTAATTAAACTGAAAACATGCCTGAACTGACATCAGCGAAAGACTAGAACATGAGGACCCCATCTCGTCTCAGTTTTATACCCTATGGTATGCATTCGTAACCATCTGATGATGGAGGCAGTAAAATTTCCATAGCAGCTAAACAAGTGTTTTGACTGTCAGTGTCCTGTTGTTTACCTATTTTTTATTTCCAATGGTTTTACTTCATTTAAGGCTGTAATTGAAAGTTAGGCAGCATAAAGTGTGCCATAAATCTGGTAAAACAAAGGGTTAGGTTTGTAGCCAGCAATTTCATAGAAGGGATGTCCTTTTTTTTTTTTTTTAACGTGGCCCTTTTTACTCTCTTAGTTTATCCAACTTGAGAAATAGCATTGAACCTAGATGGAATATTGGTTCAAAGTGAATCTTTGCAGTTAAAAGGGGAGGTCTTTCACGGACTTAATGTTCTGCTGACTAAATATGGCCAATCCCACTAAAAAGCAAGCTGCGCTAATCCCCTGACGGTCTCCCTGCCTCCCTACGTACCATTAAACGGATTAAATCTCAGCCACGAGTTTTACTTGCGAGACCCCTGCAGCGGTGGCACGAGTTGAGGAGTGGATACCATTAGGCGAATAGTGGCATGGCTTTTAAGTGGATCAGCCATATTTAGTCCGCGGATCTATTAGTCCACGGATCAACTTGTACCGAATGTGCTCTGTAGTGTACCAGTACTGCATTGGTGAACAGTGGTTCTTGTTCATGTATGGGAAGCAAGTGTTATGTCATTACTGGCAACAGATTTAAAAGAGCTCTCAGGAGTTAAACAGATGGGAGAGCATTAAATCTTGTTAGGTTAATCTGAACAGTCAATTGATAACTTACCAAACACTCCAACTTCTCATCCATCATCCATTATGTAACCAATATAATGTGACAAAAACAGAAGTGAGGCGGCCTTTTTGTTTGTAATGTGGGAAAAACCTGTTGTTGCAGAAATTCTAGTAGACTTTTCCACACAGTAATGGTGTATTCAGTGGTAGGGCTAATTAACCATAAAAACAAATTAAATTACTAATTTATGACTTGGATATGCCTTATTTTAGAATTTTTTACAGCTTAGAGTGTGTATATTTTTTGGTAAAAAGTAAAAGAAAAGCTAGCATTGGGAATTTTATGCCTTGTCAGTCTAAGAAAGGTCAGCTTCCATGATTCCATAAAATTTTCCATGCTTTTGTTCAGAGAAATTTGTTCTTTTATGTAACATTTTTGTGATGGACATTCATCTTTGCTGAAGTGCCCCACATTCATGTGTGATGGACATTCATCTTTGCTGAAGTGCCCCACATTCTCTGATATATAGGTGAACTTGATCTCTTGGTATTTGAGCATCCTTTTTCGGATTTGTTTGTAAATATTAAGAAAAACAGAGATTCTGTAAACATTTTTGTCCTTGATATATGATGCAAAACTTTTTCCAAAACAAAGGGGGTCTTGTGTGGTTAAAATCAAAACAAAAGAGTTCAAGGCTTTTGTTTCAGTTTGGCAAAGAATATGCTACTTTGTCAAGTTAAATTATTTTAGATCAAAAGCATGCACAAGTTAAAACCTAAGTATAGCTGTAAACCCTACAGTCAGATTGTATTAGAATTGTGATGTATTTGCACTAAGTCGGTTAATGAAAGAGTTGCCCCATTTAGACACCCAATTAGACTCTACATGGTTGTGATCCAAAATGACCCGCCCAGGGAGTTAGAACTTTCATGCAGTAACTTTTTTCTAGCTTTTTCCCCCCCAATCAGACTAGCCATTATACAAGCACAAGGTTGATTGTCTAAGGACATGCTATGGACTCAAAAGTATAATTGTAATCATCATTTCTCATGCTGTGTGAACACATTTCTACAAAACAAGAAATTTTCTTTAACTTGTGTTTGCCAAGTTTTTACATTTGCACACATTTTATGAATCAATTTCTGTTAGTTTACTTTGTTCTAGGGTGTAATTCAATTGTTCTATAAAATGAAGTGCAAACCAAGCACAAGTAAGTCTGCATATTATGAGAGCTAAGACAATGGCAGCTTTTAATAGTAAAAAGTGATAGTTTCCCATCATTGTTGTAATTTGGCACTAGGAAGACTTTAATTTTGATGAGGTTGCCCATGGCCAAATGCAAACCAATACAAAAGTACTAAAAATTGAAGCACCTCACTTTTAAATGTGTAAATGCTTCTCATTTGTTGCAAATGTCGTATTTGGTAGCATACACTTTTGAACCTTGGTTCTAGAATTTTCTTTTGTTCTTTGGAATTCCAGAGAAAAAGTCATGCCCCACACAGTGTGTTGATGCCCTGCTTCACTGCTCTGCTGGAGATTAGTTTGGTGGGAGGGCAACTGAGTTCTTTTCTGTTTTGTTTTGTTGAGTTCTCCTTGTAACAATTGTTTTGATGATACTGGTATGTTGCAGTTTACAATGGAATTGTGGACAAGCAATTTGGAAGAAAATTTATGTAAAATTCAGGCTCTTGTGTAGGTTATAAAAGTATTAATTTACTAAATATTCATCTAAACATTTCTTCTCCTTATTTGTTCTCTCACTTTCTTTCCTCCAGTACCACCTCCCTCTCTCTCCTTAGCAAAATTAAAAGTTTGCAGAAATATTGTAGCAAAATTACTACAAATTTGCCGCAAACTAATTTTAATTTTGTTGTAACTACTTTGCAGAAGTTCGCAAGAAAGATTTGTATTGCCGATAATTTTCAGCAAATTTGCAATAACAATTTAAGTTTGCAGCAGATTTTAAAGAATGTCTTTCTTCTTGCAAATATGCAACAAATTAGCAGCAAATTTACAAGAATATATTAGCTTTGCAGTAATTTTTACAAAATTTGAAGCAAATTTGCAAGAATTTCTTAAATGTTTGCAGAAAATATGTATTTTGCAAAAAAGTTTGCAGCAGGCTAAGGGTTTCTATCTCTCTTTCTCTCTCTCATTTGTTCAAGTCAGGTAAAATACATTAGGGGGGTCACCTGATATTTCACCTGTACATCAATTTACCTACATTAAGAACCTTACTTCTACATCTCAATGAACCTCTTAATCCACACAGTGGATCACATTAAGGTGGCTTCGTACCACCAAAATCATTACAAGGGGTTGAACAAAATGCCCAACAAAAGGTGCTCCATTAAAGTAAGCAGTCAGTATGCACTTCTCAGCCTCATGGGAAAAATAAACCAAGGGCGAGATTTTTAAAAACAGTTCTAGCGATGGCTGATACATGTCTTACGAGGTGGTCTCAAAAGTTATAATGTAACTTAATAGCGGGGTCTTTATATCCAGTTGCAATTATAATGGAAAGCATTGAAAGATGGCAGGATTCGGTGGCATGGTAAACTATTTTATCACCATTAAAAAACTGATTGGATGCACTTAGGTGGTGATCCAGATTTTGGTGTGGTTCGGGTCAGATTCTACATGTACCCTGATGGTGCTGGTCCTTAGAATTCTAAACAGATAAAAATATAAAATATTTTATGAATATGGCTTAAAATGAGTTATATGAGAGATTTTAAAGCTCATTTGTCTAAAATAATAGAATTATATGAATAAGAAGTGTTTAGGATCAAGTCATATTATACAGAATATTTTATGAATATGGGTTAAAATGAGTTATATGAAAGATTTTAAAGCTCATTTGTCCAAAATGTTAGATATAAATCAATGAATTAGAAATGTTTAGGATCAAGTCAAATTGTCATTATGTATTTGGGCAATAAAAAATTAAGAGCAGTCTGAAAAATGTCTACAATGTATGATATTTCCTGGGAGGTGACTGTTCAAAGCAGACACCTGTTGGTATCTCTGTAAGATGTAATGAGTGCAGCATTCTGCTTACATGCTTGTTATCAGGAACAGGTAACTTTTGATGTCTCTGCAAGATGTAATGAAAGCGGCATTCTGTTTACTTGCTAGTTATCAGGATGGGGCAACTTTTGGTGTTCTGCAAGATGTAATGAAAGTAGCATTCTGTTTGTATGCTTGTTATCTAGAGCATTTAACTTAAATGTTGTCTTTGCAAAATGTAATGAATACGCAGCTCTCTGTTTCATTACTGGTTACCAAGAGCACAGAGTAACAGCATTGGATAAAGTGGAAGATCAGACTCTGTGGTACTCAGGGTGTGTTTACCCTGCAGTAGTATCTGATCATTTCTACAGCTGCCTGAGCTGAGTGAAAAACATGGGAGAAACATGGCCCTCGTGAATGGAATGGAGTCACCTTTCCAACCCCCAGAGAAAGGAGAAGCCACCAGGACGCCCGCGGAGAAACCTGATAAGAGATTACTAGGGGATACAGAATGGCAGGGATACAGTTGGTTGGATTTCGGGGTTGGATTTTAATTAAAGCCCATGTTTAGAGTTAGTAAAGGAGAGAGAGAGAAGAAAATGAAAAGAAAATATATCCATAAGAAAAAATCATGGCCTTGTGATGTTTTCAGAGACTGTGATTTAAAAGCAGTGAAATGCCTTGATTTCCATCATTTTGATTTCATGGTTTGAAAATTTTATTACATAATTAAATATTTTAATTGATGGAAGTGAAGATTAGATTAGGAGTGATCAAATTAGATTAAAGAAAGAATAAATCAAACAATTTTCTTTCCAAAATTAGCAGAAAAAAATTATGCTGAAATAGAGAATTAAAGTTTAAAAAGGCAGAAAATGAAAATAAAAACACACCTTTCTTTGATGTCTGTAAAAAAAGCAGAACGTCACTCTGTAATGCAAGTAGGAATGGACTTAGCTACACTGACACAATGTCAACAAACAATTAAGTTAAAAAGAAACAAATTAAATAGAATGTGAGATATAAAGAACCAGTGTAAACAAGAAATTACCCCTAAAAGAAACAAAGTAATTTGGCAGACTAAAGAGGTCATTCAAGTGGATAAGTTTTGGCTTTGTTGCACAACAAAGTTGCTCCATTGGCTCCATGTTGATCTGTGTTGATTTCTTTAGGTTACGTTGAGTCTACATCATATGGTAAAGCAATCAATTATTTTGACTGATTGACATCAGACTATTGGAATGATGAGTGGATTACAATTGGAAGATTGATTACATTACTGTAAGCCAGTGCTAATTGTTCCAAACTTTGGTTTCCTTGGCAACAATATTTTTTAGCACTGGAGCGCAATGATTCAGGAGTTTGTCTTGCAGAATTTCAGAAATCCAAATCACACCCTCAGTTGTGGTCATTTAGGAGATTTCCTAATGTGGGATTAAGAAACTTTGAATTATAACAGTTACATTCCTGATGACATTATATTTCCAGAACAAGAGATAAATTGAAAATAGTGACATTTTTAGATAAAACTTTCTTTTGCATGTGGTATCAGACAAGGCCCAAAAGAGGTTTTTATACTACTATAAACATTTGTTCCCAATGACTGCTTTGTATGTCAACTGGGTGTTGGTTGTCTCCAGCTCTGTCTGGTGGACCCTTAAGTGTGGTGGTTCTCATTCATCACAGCTGATTATCATTTCAAAACAACTAATTACTACTTAAAAGCCCACTCCAGTAGAAAAAAGGGTGGAACTTAAGGAGCCAAGTGCCTGTTAGACACAACAAATGGGCTATATCCTAAGTGGGTTTGGTTTTTGGTTTTGAAAATGTGGAATTTTTAAGAGTTGAAATAGGTGTGCTTTTAGTGTGGACTTACTATTAATGGTTCCTTTTCATGATAGATTGTATAGTTTATCAACATAATTGTAATCTTAATCACTACAAGTAATATTTCTGTTTAGCATATTGCTGTTTTTGCAGTGATTGGTATTGCTTTAACTTAAAAGCAGATCCCCTTGATGGTACTATTATGAACCCATAGAAAAATGCTTAATTTTAATTATACTTGTGCATATAGGACATAATAAAATTAAGATTTGTGTAATATTAACATTTTCTATTTTATTTCATTATAGGACAGCCAGTTAAAATTTGAGTTTTAATTTTAGGTTAACGATTTGAGTTAACAGTTAGTTACATTTTAAAATTTTTTATTCCAGTGAGTGGAGGCTGTTCTGTAAACAATGGCGGATGTCAGCACATGTGCCAGGAAGGCTACGGCGGCCATTTTAGATGTGCATGTCACCCTGGATACAGACTGGGGTCTGATGGGAAGAGTTGCGAAGGTGAGATACGATATGATGATGAAATATTAATTGGAAAATAATTGTTGTTATCATTCTTTGAACCATGGCATTGGATGGTTAGAAGTGGTCACAGTTGTTAATAGCATGTTAATTTTTTGTTTTTATTTTTATTTTATTAGAACTGCATCGTTTCTTACAGAAATTTTCAATTGTGCCCTTGTTTGATCCATTTATTTAAAAGTTTGATAAACGTTTGACAAAAAGTATAATAAAATTGCTATTTCTTTGAAAGATATTTTAAAACTGAGGTTTAACTTCATGAAATTTAAGTCTTATAATGAATTATTATTTATTTTGACATGAAAATGATCTTAATTTTATAGAATTTATAGAAAAAAGATAAAGATTTTCTTAAGAATATGGGATTAAAAAAAAAATAGGTAATCCTGGTGTTTTGCTCTAAGCAGTTGAAATTTTGCTCTTTGTGGGTTGTTGCTCCATGACCCGTAAAGGAGAAGTTCTAATTCCTGCCATTTTTACTAAGAGCTGAAAAGTAACAGGACTAAAATATGATGAAATACTTATAACTTAAAAGAGACCGTCCATCCACTGCTCTTGAGATGTGTCTTGTCTTTTGATCATGGTGTGCCATTTTTGTAAGATTATCAAAGCATCAAAATGCCCTTTACTGCCCCTGGGTCAAGCGTACAACATTGGCATTGTCATTTATAGGAACAAGTCCACCATACATATTTTGGTAACTTATATTCCTGTTAAACAGAAGCTACATGAAAATTTTTCTTTAATATTTTGAGAGCATCAAATACCCTTTGAGGCCATTGCTATTTGCCATTTTTTTTATCAGATCTTGTCATGCGCAAAATTCATTTTATAAAGGAGCATTATGTGTAAAAGTAAGAATGTAGAGCACACCAAAATTTAATATCTGATTTCAGAAAATTTCTGATATTTATGTTTTAAGTAGATTTTTTCAGTTTTTGTGACTTTGTTGAGAAATTCATTATTTTGAGTAATAGATTGTTGGTTTGTATTATTAAAAGTGTAGTATAACTAAAATAAACGTGTTAAATTTTGTATGGTATTTATCTTTTAAATTGTTTGCAAGTGATTGTGTGTTTGCAAGTCCCAAAGTAAATTTGTTGTTCACGGCTTCATTTCCAAACAAAGGCACTGGGCAAGCTATCAATGTAGAATTGCCCAGAGCAAATCTAAAGTTAATCTTAGAGAAACCACCAACGACAACTATAGCCACCACAACTGAGAAGGGTGAGTCTACAAGCAGTGAAACCTTGGGAGCTAATGGGTTTGCAATCGAGCCCCTGGTCGCTTTTCCAAAAATACCGTAATGGATAGGATTCAAATACCCAAAGCTTTTCAGTCCCGATGCATACCAGCTTGTTCATGTTCAAATTTCCACATGTTCGTGCTTATTGAGCACGTATGGAAATGAAGAGATCAAGAAGCTTACCGTCTCTACCAAATCTCGGTCTTAATTCAAATAGGGGAGCATTTAACCAGCTTGGTTTTACTTACTTCAAAGTAATATTTCAGATGTTATTTATTGACAGGTGGTTGATTGACAGTTTTTCAATTGACAGTTGACTAATTGATTGGCAGAATAGAGCACTAGAAAGCCCCAGCTTATTTATAGTTGCAGTTTTTCAAATGAAAAACATCAATTTTGATATATGTGTTGCAACCACTGTTAGGAATTGTACTAATACACTTAAAATGTTTAAGAGAATACTAACATGGAAACATTTTCTAAAAGATAACACCAAAGGTTTTGATACTGGTATTGATATGGGGTTGAGTTACTAATTAAGTGATTAATTTTTTAAAAATTAACATTATGCAAAAGTATAATTTGGCTTTGTAATTATACACTGTAGTAAAACTGCTAACATTGGTGGTAGTAAATGAAGAATTTTTAACATATCTGTGGTACATGTGCATTATACAGACATACTGAAAAAATCACACGAACGTTCCCTTTTTTCAGTTTAATGTTTTGATTTCCCTTTTATATCTCTCTGAAAGTGTTAGAACTTTCACTTTTAGTATGAGTTACAAGAATTACACTTAGGTAATCATTTGTGTTATATTTTAGATGTATTTTCATCACTTTACCTCAGTTAGGCAATTTCACACTGAATTGACTAAATTTAATTTGCCCTGAAAATAGTCAGTCTTCTAAATTTGTCAAATCTTTTAGGCCAAAAAGCTTGTGTACTTAAATTTGGATTAAATTGGTACAGTTCACTGAAATAAAGTAGCCATTGGTCAAAGCCACATCTTTTATTTATAATACAGGCATGATATTTCATTTATATGGATCATGACTTTTATTTTGTGTAAAATCAAGCATTAAATTTTACGGACTCAATGCAGATTTTGAGGCTTAGTATATCTAGCTGTGACAAGGATTCTTTATGAATCTAACCTTAAATTTTGCTTAATGATCTTTATTTTTAGGTGAAACGACATGAGGTTGAATGAGTGTAATGTTGCTTTTATTTTCTCATTGTCAATGACCTTTGGATTTTGACCAGTCAGCCAAATTATGTTCTAATTTTCTTTAGTTATATATTGTTTATTTATTTTTATTTTTGTTTTCCTTTTTTCAGTTATTGATTCATGTCGAGAAAATAATGGTGGTTGTTCACAAAAGTGTAACAACTATGGTGGCCGAGCGGTCTGTCAGTGCTATACTGGCTATAAGATTGGGCTAGATGGGAAAACTTGTGAAGGTATTAGACTGCGTTCCCATAACCTTATTGTACCAGCAAGATTGATCTATCTCAGCAGGGATTCTTGCTAAGGCACAGTTAATGTAATCAGCTTAATTTTCTGGCATGCCCCTTCCCAAAGCAACACGAACACAATCATAGGCAACAAAGTTTTTATCGACTTTACCCAAGCACTTTTAGTTGCAAGGGGGCATCCTAGACATTTAAGCTGTTTAAACTAAATGAAATTTAGCAAGAATCCCCTAGAAGTTGGATCGCTCCAGTTTGTACGATAGGGTTATGGGAATGGTCCCTTGCACACATTGAACAGGAAGTCCATCTGGGTATATTTAACTGATTGAAAATACTTGTAATATTAATTACTAAAGTTGGTAAGATATTCATTATATTTGACACTTACTTATTTGATTGATTTATTTAATTTATTAAATTTTTATCCATTGTGCTTTCTTTCTCCTTGCCATTCATTATGTTTTGATATTGTTTTAGTTTAGTATTTGTAGTGTTTAAAAGATCACTGTGGCATTTAATTACTTTTTGATAATATACAAGAATGAGCTATTCTATATTCTATATACATGTACATGTGAAAGGTTCATATTGTCAGAGTCCGGTCAATTCACATTTTTTGTCCAAATGTCAAAATATCGACATCAGCAATATTATGTGTTGGTACTAAAACAAAAATTAATTATTATTTAGGAAAATTTGTAAGAAAATGTAAAGGTAGGTTACTTTGAGGTGTTACAACAATATTTGCCCAAACGTCAAAGTATCAGCAATGTAGTTAAATGTTTTCTTTTTCATAAAACCCTTCAGATATAGATGAGTGTTCCATTGGTAATGGCGGCTGTTCGCAGGGCTGCGCAAACACCAGAGGATCGTTTGCCTGCACGTGTACACCTGGATACCAGCTGGGAACAGACGGAAGATCTTGTTATAGTGAGTGGATGTTTTTGATCATGATTTTTGATAAGCGTGGGTAGTGCTAGCATTTTTTTTTTCAAATTGCTTACTTACTTACTCATCACTTTTTTTCCAAATGGTTTAAATTTGACTAAAACATGTCAAACCAACCCTATTTTGTTTAGACAAGTTAAGTCACTTTACAATATGCGAGTGTTAGCACTACCCCAGAATAAGTTACTGTATTTTTGACATTTATTTAACTATCATCACCAACTGGTATAGATATTTTTTTTTACCATAAAGTTTTTTTTCTTCATAATTTGTTTAAATGCCTGTTCTTTAACATCTGTATTTATATGATTTACATTTTTATCTTATCATTATTTTTGTAATTATCATCTAGGAATCGAAATGGAAGTTATCGATAGCTGTGCCACCAATAACGGTGGCTGTGAACACAAGTGTAAGCATGGTGTAGGGGGCGCCATATGTACATGTAACCCTGGTTACACACTGCAGGCTGATGGGAAATCTTGTGCAGGTATACACAGCTAAACAAATTCAACCTCTGAGATTTGTATTAAGTTCCAAAATTTTCAGAATATTTCAGTTAACATTAACAATTATAATTCATCTTTTATTTTTCCAATTGGATTTGATTTACATAAATTTATGAATGGAGTGTGGAATTCAATTTTCAAGTGACTGTATTTTATATAAGATTATGCCAAAGGCAATGTCAGATGCAATAATTGTTTAATGAGCAGTTAATATTTGAAAGTTATCTTAATTTAATACTTTTACTTGCTATCGATAATGAAATTATTTGATAGACAGCATTTCCATCTATATTCACTGCAAATTTTAAAATAAACGCCCTCTTCTTTTCTAGATAATCAACTATATTAAATATGAATTTTTCTATTTTATATTCTCAGTAAACTTCTGTATTTCATTTCACCTTCTATGTTAATCAGCTACACTATAAACATTCGATCCCTGAAATCAGGTCTAAGAAAAAGTAATATTCTGCACTTCAGCATAGAACATCTCTATTTTTGAAAACCGCTCTTGTGTGCTCTCTTCTTAAACAGTTTCTGATATTCTTTTTCACAGATAAAGATGTTATATTGTATCTAATATATTCACATCACATAATAAACCAATGTATTATATAACATTTAGTATATTTAAGGACTCTCTAATAATGGGACATTTTTTACTAGGATATGTTTACAAGTAATACTAATTATGTCAGGGGTAATAACATTGTGTGATTAATATATTTGGGATATAAAGGAGTAGTTAGAACAATTTATTTACACTTTTTCCCAAAAAGATAGGGTTTTACTAAATCTTTATAGATAGTTTGCAGTAAACTAATCATACCAAAGGTACCTTGGATTTATTACATTTACTAATGTTGGCTTTATTTAATGTATCTACCCTATAACAGACACTGATGAGTGCGAGCTGGGGACCTCGTGTTGCGAGCAGCTATGCACGGACACAGTAGGGAGCTTTACTTGTGGGTGTCGTGTAGGATTTACACTTAACAACGACATGTGCAGTTGCCAGGGTAGGTGGTGCTATTTGTCAAGATGAACTTTTCCTTGATTTGTTCAACGGAATTAAATGCATGTCTGGTTTGGAATAAATGCACTGTAAATAAAGTATTTATAAGTTAGTCAGTTTATGGTCACAATGCCAGAAACTGATGAAACTTAATTGCAAATTTGTAAAAAAAATTGTGTGTATTAAGTTACAAAGAAGAATTTATACAAAATAAACCATTTTCTCAAACAAAATTATTAAAATCTGTCCAGTCTGTGTTTATACTGTTTGAAACATATTTTCAAATGACAAAAACCAGATATGTATAATGTTCTGGTAATATAATGGTGTATAGATTATAAGATTTTTTTTTTTTTTTCTAATTATGCTAGAGTAATTTAATGTGGAAGGGTACTTAACAAAAGTTACATATACATGTATCTTGTACATGCCAGGGGCGGATCCAGAGATATTTTCTGACAGTCTTCCAAATTATTTTTGTTAATCCATCCTCCATTTTTGACCGTCTTCCGACAGAAAATATTAGAAACCCGTCAATGTAAACTTTAAAATCTGACCGTCTTCCGGAAGACCTAGAAGACGGCCTAAATCCGCCCCTGCATGCATTATATATTTAATGATTTTAAGGTGTGTGATACAAGCATGTTGATAGGCAACTTTAACTGTAGTGTAGATATGTGTTTACATTGTTTGTTTATCATCTAGATGTTGATGAGTGTCTTAACAACAACGGTGGCTGCGAACAAGTCTGTGTGAACTCCGTGGGATCATTTGAGTGTGTTTGCAATGTGGGATACAAGCTGACATATGATGGCAAGAGCTGTGAAGGTAGGTTGAGAACGATACGAGTTGAAGTATTGACATGTTTTTTATGTTTATTAATGTAATAATAATAATAATAATAATAATATTAATAATATTTTTATTTAAAGAGGATAAAACATGTTAATTGTATACATTTATCTTACGCATGGCCCTCGAGTTTACTTTACATTTAGTGTTTGCAAGTATTTGATAACTTAGCAGAGTTCAAACAAATATAAAGCAGTGTATGAAGTAACAGTTTTATGTGCAAGATTAACTTTAAAATGATATTTCCATATTTCAGTTGAGCAGTCAGAGGTTGGGCCTGTGAGAGGAGATCTTCCCAATGTTATAGTTCAGCCCACTGTACAGTTTCAGCCCACACCACCCCCCATTATCTCCATCACAGACCCTGAGTCTTCACTGGAGCTTAACAATCAGCTTATTGACAACGAACGAGTTGGTAAGTTGTTTGCATCGAATCTGATTATCATAATAGTTGACAATTTGATTCATTACATGTTATCTTTGTGTTTTTCAGTATATATATTACTGTTGTTTTCAGGGGTATATTTATTGATAAATATATGTTAAACAATAAGTCTGATCATTTTGGGGGACTGTAATTTTGGAAACCATGGATTTTTTATTTATTTAAGAATATTAATTATTTACTTAAAATGAAAGAAAGAATGATCTGAGAGCTGAGATTGAATTGTTCTTTTAATTGAACAAATTGATGAGGGACAGATGAATCAATTAGCTTTGATCAACAAGCTGCACATCGCTCAACAAGATAAGAATATATATATATTTAATTTATTATCAAATATATGTGAAATGCTCATAAAGCAAATTAAAACTATTTTGGAAAAATATCATAGAAGACAGAAAATATATTGTTAATGTACGGTGTTATATTATTATTGTCTTGAATAATGTTCAACACAATTCACTCACAATGTATAACTTCCTTAGTGTTTTTGGTGTTTTTGCTATACCAAATTGCATTTATCTTTGTCTGTCAAGGCAAAAGCAATAAGACTGGCAAGAGTAACAGAGCTAAGAGAAAACATGTAAAAGGTAGCCTAAATGTTAACTTAATGAATTCACTGTCTTGCCATGAAGTTATGTTGGGCTATATAGTGTTCATTGTTGTATTTAACCAGAGGTTTAGTGTACACAATGTTTTAGTATTGTGAGCCACGTATGCTGTAGTTTTTGTGGCTCTAAGTTTTACTCTGTTTTGTCTAATTTTTGGAACCATATGATTTTATTTAGATTTATTTTCCCTTTATTATATTATACTTGTAGTTATTTAATTAAATTAACATTTGACATGTGTACCGCAGTTTCACAGTATTTCCCTTTTATTTGAATTAAACTATGCATGCTTATAAGTATATATTTTTATTTAATGTCGTGTGTACATGAAAGAAATTTCAAAATACCTAAATAGGCATATGATGAAGATTAAAGATAACATTTACTCTGGTTACATGATTGAATCCACTTATGGAAACAAATGTAAAATTTTTGCATAAATTTAAATCATAAAAACCATAGACACAGCATAAAAGCACATTTAGTAATGTTTCAGTTATGCCTTATCAGAAAAATTTAATATTTTGCTCTGTTTATTAGATTTTATTTTGTTGAATGTACCCAGAAATCATATTTTAAAAAATCATTTCAGTGTGCCGCGATGCAGGTAACTTCGGACCTAAATGTGAGTTTACCTGTGACTCCTGTCAAAATGGCGGCATGTGTAACGAGGAACAGAATGGCTGCGAGTGTGAAGCAGGCTGGCAAGGAATTATATGTAACGAAACGTGTCCAGAAGTAAGTATATATACAGACATTGATCAGTGTACACTTGTTTTTAATAAGTTGTTAATTTGTTGTGTCTGATGAGCATTGAAATAGAAATTAAGGTTATAATGAGATAAAGTGCAATTTTGTTTCAACATGAAAATAGGAAGAAATTATGTAGGCGCATAAAATGAATCTTTGAAGGCACTTGTGCTTCAGTAGGTAAAATATTTAATTATGTTTTGAGAGAAAGTCCAAGGCTTAAAGGTCAGGTATCATTTGACAATGAATATATCATAGCATAAATATTATTTATATAATATAAAATATCTTAATATGATGTTTAATGTTAATTCAATATTTACCTTTTCTGTTGAAAGTGAACAATGTAATGTTTATTGGTTGCTAATGTAATACATCATCACCTGGTTACAGGGTTTCCATGGAGATGGCTGCAATGGTATCTGCACATGTCTTAATGGCGGGTCATGTGATTCAGTGACAGGCGAGTGCCGATGTCCTCCAGGGGTCAAGGGGGTAAATTGTGAGAACGGTTGTCCCCCTGGTGAGTAAAATTATAGCTTAGTTAATATTTTCATGTACCAATACATGCATTTACAAAACTATGTAAAATAGTTGAATGACAAAATACCTGTAAAAAAATTTGATTGACAGCTACATGTACTGTATATGTAAAAAGTACAGGCACACAATATCATAGGTGTGCTAAATTCATCAGAACTATATATATATATATATATATATATATATATATATATATATATATATATATATATATATATATATCTTGTTATGTGTGAAAAATTAAAACCAATTTTCTTACCAAGTCTTGTTATTTGTGTACTAAGTATTGGTTAACGCATATAAACATTTTCTATATATCCACAGTACAATTCCTTGACAGAGAAGATTGCTCTAAAATTGGCTCATCCAGCAACTCGTAGAAACCACTTATAATAAAAATAAAAAATACATAACCAGGTGTTTAATTTCATTCAGACTATCAAGCAATAAAATTTTCTTCTCTTGTAGGGTATTTTGGTCAGGGCTGTGACAAGGAATGTCCCCTACCCTGCGCCAAAGGGGCTTGTCACCGTGTCTTTGGCTTCTGTATCTGTCCTGCTGGATTCTTTGGACCCCAGTGTAACAAGGAGTGCCCCAAGGACTCCTATGGTCCCAACTGTGAGTCCCCCTGTGACTGCTTTGATGAAAACACCAAGTCCTGCAATCCACAGGTAAAATGACAAAAAAGAAAATTTTAAAAATTCGGATGGAATTTTTTTAAAAATGGGCATCTTGGTTACAAAGCCTGCTCTTTAAGAGCTGGAGTGAGGGGTTTGGCTTAAACAGCTTATCTTGATTCAGAGGCCAGTTCAAAGGGAACCTCTAAGGGACCGTTCACATGAAAAATCTATTTTCTAAAAATCTATTTGCGGTATCTTGTGATCACGGTCTGTGCCCTAAATACCCCACAGTGTAATTACTGGCAGCGTGAGCCAGTTAATTCCAAAGGTGTATTAATTCTTGGCGCTGCCAGTAATTACGCCGCGGGGTATCCAGGGCACAGACCGTGATCACAAGAAACCGAAAATAGATTTTTAAATTTTTAGAAAATAGATTTTCCATGTGAACGAAGCCTAAATTTGGGGTTTGATTCAAAAGACTAGTGAGTGTGCTTGATTAAAGAGAGGTTAATCATGAATTTTGAGTGTGGATGTTACTGAAATGTCTTCTCTGAAGTTCATTTGAATCATTTTCATAAGTCAACTGACAGATAATTTGGTTTTATCAAGACTCTTACTTAAGTGTTGACCTAGGATTTTCACAACTGATGAGGCATGTTTTTAATGTTTTTAAAGCATGTCTTGGTGTACGGGTTGGTTTTGGTGTTTTCCAAGTGTTATCAGTGTTGACAATATTGACCTCTGCTATTAGCTAACATTTCAGCTTTTAATGCATTTCTGCTTTGCTTTTTTGCGTGTGCATATAAGGTTGACATGATGCGGAAAAATTTTAATAATATGTATTTATTTGCAACTTTAATAGTTGGATTTTACAATAAAAACAAATAGTGGTGAGATGCACAATCTTAAAATATACTTGTAAGTGTTAAAATGATTTGATACACATTAAAATTTCATAAAAGCCTCAGATCTTAAAATTTGATAAAGCCCATGGGATAAATATTTTGGATGATCGTACGGTCCTCAGCTTAGGTGTTAAATATACAGAATTATAGCTATATGGCAAAATATGTTATGTTTACATAGTGATAAATTACGAAAGCTCTTTTTATGTACAGACACAGATGTGTCTGTACATATAGCCATCATCTGCGTCTGTCGTCGCCGTCATCGCCGTGCACTCAGCGATAACACGATAAGTGGAATACCGTTTTACATTTTGTATTCAAATTTACAGAACTGATGAATATTCATAATACGCAGGTCAAGTTCGAAAATCAGNCCTTGGTGCTGCCAGTAATTACGCCGCGGGGTATCCAGGGCACAGACCGTGATCACAAGAAACCGAAAATAGATTTTTAAATTTTTAGAAAATAGATTTTCCATGTGAACGAAGCCTAAATTTGGGGTTTGATTCAAAAGACTAGTGAGTGTGCTTGATTAAAGAGAGGTTAATCATGAATTTTGAGTGTGGATGTTACTGAAATGTCTTCTCTGAAGTTCATTTGAATCATTTTCATAAGTCAACTGACAGATAATTTGGTTCTATCAAGACTCTTACTTAAGTGTTGACCTAGGATTTTCACAACTGATGAGGCATGTTTTTAAAGCATGTCTTGGTGTACGGGTTGGTTTTGGTGTTTTCCAAGTGTTATCAGTGTTGACAATATTGACCTCTGCTATTAGCTAACATTTCAGCTTTTAATGCATTTCTGCTTTGCTTTTTTGCGTGTGCATATAAGGTTGACATGATGCGGAAAAATTTTAATAATATGTATTTATTTGCAACTTAAATAGTTGGATTTTACAATAAAAACAAATAGTGGTGAGATGCACAATCTTAAAATATACTTGTAAGTGTTAAAATGATTTGATACACATTAAAATTTCATAAAAGCCTCAGATCTTAAAATTTGATAAAGCCCATGGGATAAATATTTTGGATGATCGTACAGTCCTCAGTTTAGGTGTTAAATATACAGAATTATAGCTATATGGCAAAATATGTTATGTTTACATAGTGATAAATTACGAAAGCTCTTTTTTTAGTTATATTTAAAACAAAATTTGATTGTCTGGTAAAAATTCACTTTGCTAACATATCAACACGTTTGTGTGTGAGCACGCACATGTATAAGTGGACATGTGCATGAATGTTCATTGAAATTCTAAAAACATGAAAGAAACGTTAACTGCTGTCACCATGCTTCACTCAAGACACGTTTGACTGTTTGAATATTTGTTGTAGCTAGCACGGAATGTACTTTAAACCTGTAAATGTTCAGCTTGTAATTATTTGTGATAATAATATGCTTATTCTGCTACTGCATCATTTTATAACAGCTTACTGAATATGTACAAGTAAGTGTGGCATTGTTCGCACTAGTTGATATATATATACACTACTATACTTTACTGTAGGCAGCCTATCTCTTCTGATTACCCTTTTATAGTTTTTTCTGCTTTATTTGTTATGGGTAAATATCTTTGAGGAAACAAACATGCATTTGAGAAAAGCACCCTATAATATATTTTTGTTTGCTTTTACTGTAGGTACATGTAATAAAACTGTGTGCGTGCGTGTAGATACATGTAGTTTAGATTATGCAATGCAATCTTGGTAATGCTTCGCAATTAATTTACTTTCTGAATACGTCTTTACATGTGCATAGGTCTGTCTAAAGTTTGATTGCTGTGTTTTTGTGTGCGTTATTTAGTTGTTTTTGCCCTTAATGATGCATGTTTGTAACATTGTGGTCAACAAATGTTTTTTTTAAGTTGCCACAAACTAAATTAACTCACCTTCCCATACGAAAAAGTCCTATAGGATCCTATAAGATCCTATAGGATCCTATAGGAAATTGGGCCAATTTCCTAAGGATCTTATAGTATCCTATAGGACTTTTTCGTTTGGGTTATGTAACCTCAATTTGACCCCTCAAACATAGAAAAAAGTTAAGAACTAGACTAGTAAGAGTTAAAAGTGTTACAAATGTGACAAAAATGATTAAAACTAGTATTAGTATATAATTATGTATCAATGTTTTACAGCATGCACTGTATATTATAATTGCATGACATTTTATACTATCCCTGTAGTAAGCACCTATGATGTACATGTATATACTCCAGTACATGTACTAGTACATGGTTCAATTCCTGTTTTTAAAACTATTTTGATACCCAAACAACTTTTTTATTTTCAGAATGGAAAATGCAACTGTAAGCCAGGTTACACTGGGGAGAGATGCACCCATAAGTGCCCTGAGGGTTACTATGGCAACGAATGCAAAGGCGTCTGCGACTGTCCCGAGGAAACGATGTGTGATCATGTGACTGGTCATTGTCTGCGGGACTGCCCTATGGGATGGACTGGAGACTTATGTGACCAAGGTGATTTGTCTTCAGCTATTTTCCTTCTATTTCTTTAAATTTGTTGTACAAAGCAGTGTATTCAAAAATTAGAATACAAGTGTGAAGACAAAGGATCATGCAAAATAACTACATGGGAAATATCTGTTTTGATATCTGTGTTTATTCAGGGGTGGATGGCGACTGTCTTCTGGGTCTTCTAGTAGACCGTCAGTTTTTTTTTTTTTTTTTTCAATTTACACTGATGGGCATCTTATCGTTTCTGTTGGAAGACGGTGAAAAATAGAAGATGCATCAACAAAGATAATTTGAAAGACTGTCAGAAAATATACCTGGATCCACCCCTGTTATTACACAGCTTACATTTGAGTACTAGCTGTCTGTACTGTCCTGTCTGGTAACTGTGATGTGTGGCTACTACTGGTACATAATTAATATTAGGACTGTAGCCAGGGGGTTTAATAGAAACCCCCTTTTTTGCTAGAAAAATGCCCACTGGGAAAATTTGATCTAGATAAACTCGACCATGACAAAAGGTCTACATTTTCAGAAAAAAAAAACAAAAAAAGAACGCCTCTTTTGCAACAAGCCTGAATATGCTTGTTTTGATACATTATTTCTTTATTTATTTCCAGCCTGTCCAAGTGGCAAATATGGCTCAAACTGCCTCCAGGACTGCGAGTGTGACGGCAGTAGCTGTGATCCAGAGACTGGAGAGTGCATTTGCCAGCCAGGGAGGAGGGGAAGACTCTGCAAGGATTGTAAGGGGATTTTTTTACAGCTTTTACCCTTGGGCTGGTTTCTCAGAAGAACTTAAAGTTAAGATAAAGTATAAGTCTTTACTTAAAGCCTGAGAATTCCAGCCTCCTCCACTTTAGGATAAATTTGTGCAAGTCCACTGAAGTAAATTAATATTTTTTTATTTAACTCAGGTATGGCAAGTCATTTCTTTCCTTTTTATGAAACAGATTCAACAATATTGAAGTAATCCACTTTAGTAATGCCATAGTCTAGAGACCATTCCCACCAATATTTAGATCGATCTATCCCCCTGGGGAGTCTCACTAGATTGCTATCAGCTTAACTGGCTTAAATGTCTGTTCCGCCTACTAAAAGCTATAAGGAGGTAATTAACTTTGGTGCACGCTCGGCTCCCGGAAGCTGACAGCAATCTAGCGTGAACCCCCAGGGAGTTTGGTCGATTCAGATAGATCAACCTAAATCTGTGGGAACCCAGTAATAGTCTCTTTTGCCATGCTCTTTTTAATTCAATCATTTCTTTCTTCCTTTTAATGAAACAGATTCAACAACATTGAATTCATCCATTTTGACAAAGCCATTAACTTTTTTCCCTGCTCTGTTAAATTCATTTCTTGTCTGCTTGCCTAGACTGCCCAGAGAACACGTGGGGCCTCAGTTGTGCGAACCAATGCACGTGCGAAAATGGAGCAACATGTGACAAATCTTCTGGGGAATGCGTGTGTATGCCAGGATGGTTTGGGCCACGCTGTGCAGAAGGTAAAAATACAGAGGTTTTTGGTCTATTGATTGAAATTCAAAATGCAATGCTGTGGTTTTTTTTCTACATCCCTTGTGTAATGAAGGTCTGCCACTCAGTAGTAATTGTGTTTTAGATGATTCAGAATTAAAGAATTCATATTTTATGCAAGCAGTCAAATTTCTTAAAATTAGTAAAAATCCTGTCCTCTTTTTGAAATAACGAATTATAAGCTTGGCTAAAAAAAATGTAACAAAACAGTTTGATTGCTTGTTTGATCTAACCGCATTCTTTAACAAATAATAAAATTAAAAAAATAAAGGATTAAGAAAATTTTAACATTGTTTTCACTACATTTGCGTATTCCCTTATTTTCAGCTTGTCCGTCAGGACGATATGGCGGCCAGTGCTTGCTGCAGTGTATGTGTGAGAATGGAGGTTACTGTAACCCTGTCACTGGAGAGTGCAACTGTACTGCAGGGTGGACGGGTCAACTTTGTGACAGAGGTCAGATATATTTTCACAGAACTTACTACAAATGATAAACGAAAAACTTGATTCCTTTAAAATAGTGTGGTATACAGAGCATGACATACCTGTAAGTGTGCGGTAATATCCCAGCCTAATTGCAATCAGTCTAACATATTTAAAGTGATAATAACTCTTTGTTTCGGCCAAAAAATGAATTTTCCTGGAGAAAACAACAATTTTCCCATACTTACCAATGGTTAATGAATCCATTTTTACATTCAAAGTTAGTCCCTGGTTTTTTGTTAAAATCTCTTAAGAGATTTTAGCAGAGTATAGCCATCAGTGGAGGTCACGTGGTCTAAAGACAAGCTCAGATATCAGAAAAATAGCTATAACTGCAGTTTTTGTGGTAAAACGGAATATATTATATTTCTATGAGTTATTCATAATGTTTTTATTGTGAAATATAGATCTCATATAAAGAGTTATTATCCNTTTTTTTCTAAAAAGTTTGGTTTTTTGTTAAAATCTCTTAAGAGATTTTAGCAGAGTATAGCCATCAGTGGAGGTCACGTGGATATCAGAATAATAGCTATAACTGCAGTTTTTGTGGTAAAACAGAATATATTATATTTCTATGAGTTATTCATAATGTTTTTATTGTGAAATATAGATCTCATATAAAGAGTTATTATCCCTTTAAGTTACAAGCAATACCTTTTGGTGCTACAGTGAGAGAAAAATATAGTAGATAGTGATGACATATACCGAATTTGTTTTTATCCAGTGTTTTACCAAAAGACAAAGGGCACATAATCTAAGACCCCATTTCCAGAGATTAGATCTATCTACTTTAGATCGACCTAACTCCCTGGGGGTTCATGCTAAATAGCTGTCAGCCGAGCGGACATGAAAGTTAATTACCCTCTTACAGCTTGTAGTAGGTAGGATGGACATTTAAGCCGGATTATCTGACAGTAATCTAGTGAGACTCCCCGCGGGGATAGATCAATCTAAAAGATCTGGGAATACAGCCTAACAGATGAGGTACCTGTCACATTGGTTATCACAATGTAAAAACTACAGGGAGATGAAAATATCTTATAAATAAGAAAACTTGATTTGAGTACTCACCATTTCAATATTGTCTTCCACAGCATGTACTGGCGGCACATATGGGGTAGACTGTAGCGGACAGTGCGCCTGTCACAACAGCGCAGAATGTGATCATGTGACAGGGGAGTGTATCTGCGCACCAGGATGGAGAGGCGCAGGTTGCGATGAAAGTATGTAACACTGTGAAAAATATAAAGGTTCCCCAAGTCTTCTGTGTATAGTTTGCGCTCATATTGAAAGGTTAATAGACGAGGCAAAATGTTAATGATGTTAATATTTAGATAATTTGGAATATATGTTTTGGGGAAAATGAAGATGAACTGCATTTAGTCAAAAGGGCAATTACTTCAGTTCTTTTTTTCCTTTGGACTGCAATTTCATTAAAATTTTTGATGTATATTGGGATAAGTTGTCTACAACCTAACCTGTGCTTATGAAAACATGTTTGCAGTGAAGTACTATACATTACATATAATAAGCTTTATTATTCTTTTTAATTTTAGAGTGTGGAAATGGCACATATGGTCCTGGATGCGGGAAACTCTGCATGTGCCGCAACGGCGCAGACTGCGACCACATCAGCGGTGCATGCATGTGCAAATCAGGATGGCGGGACACATTTTGCGACAAGCCTTGCCCTGAGGGATTCTTTGGACTGGAGTGCCAGAGCGTATGCAACTGTGGTATTGGAAACCATTGTGACCCAGAAACTGGAGAGTGCACGTGCGCTGCAGGCCTCACAGGACTGCGCTGTACGGAGCCGTGTCGTGAGGGAACGTGGGGCATTGATTGCAAAAACCAGTGTGATTGCGAGAATGAAGCCACTTGTGATCCCTTCTCTGGGTTCTGCCTTTGTAAGCCAGGATGGAAGGGGCCTACTTGTAGGGAAGGTAGGTGTTCATTTCTATCAGTATGATTTTTTGTTCTGAATTATTTTTCTTTCTCATAAAGCACTCAGTTATTAAAATCATTTTTGTTGGCATTTTTTTGTGTGTATGTTTCAGTATTTCATGAAGTAATCATCAAAAACAATTTCACTTGATGAGGATGATTAATTTGTGAGGTGCAACACACATGTTAGTAGAAAATATATACCTTTAGTTGTGGATTAATGTTATTACTTTGCACAAGAAAAGTAAAACTTTTACAAACGCTTATAACCAAGACTTAGGTTATTTAAAAATTTTTGAAAATGGACATTCTAGCTATTTTTAGCTATTGGTTAAACATTTCTAAATCATATTTCAGCTTGTGAACCTTTCTTTTATGGCACGAACTGTGGTCAGAGATGCATGTGCAGCAATGGTGCCTCGTGTGATCATGTGACTGGTGCATGTAACTGCACCAATGGCTGGACAGGGATGTCATGTGACACACGTAAGAAGTCATGTGATATGATGCAGAGGATATATTGTCAAAATGTCTCAAAATTTTTACTTTTAATTATGATACTTTGAGAGCTTTCAGTAAGAAAGCTATTTATCCATTAATTTTGTTTGTTTTGATCGATATATGTGACAGATATGTAGTATGAATGTATATTGTTAATGACAGAAATTATTCGTCCATTATTTTTTATTTTATTTTTTATTTTTTGTTTTGTTTTGATCTCTGTGACAAAACATGTAGGTGAAACATATATTGTCATTGACAAAAACTTTAATTTTCTCATACGTAAAGATGATACTTTTTTGCTAACACATCTTCATTGTCTTGACTTAAAATAGAATATTTAAATAAGGTATAATTGTGTGAATTATGAAGTCAATTTAACAAAAATATGTGTCATATTTCAGTTTGTATGGAAGGTTTCTATGGCCCAGACTGCAGGCTGGTTTGTGAATGTAGCAAGAACAGCAAAGAGTGTGACCGCTTCACAGGAAAATGTATTTGTAAAAAAGGATACATTGGCAAAACATGTAGTGATGGTAAGTACGTATACAATATAAGACTGTGGCATATATACTATTCATGTATGTTACACACACACACACACACACACACACACACACACACACTAGTACATATGAATAAACAGAACAGTGTTTTAGGAGTTATGTTCTGTGCATTATATGCATTGCAGGGGCATTTTAGTATTATGTGATATTCATGGCTTGGGTATGGAAATTATGATTTTGCCGAGCAGTTATGAAGTATTATGTATTATAATTATGTGCTACATTTGCAGGCTCAGTGTGAGTGTGTGAATGCGTGTATGCTGAATGATTTTTTTGTTTCATATGTTTTTTTGTTGAAACCTGTAAAAATAATTATCCCTTTACAAGTATAATATATTATTGCCCTCTTCCACCCCCCCTCCTAACTCCTGGCAGTCCCCTGGGGTACCTCCACCCCCCACCCCCCCATCCCGGGAAGAGAGCCACAGAAACTATTGTCTTAAAGAGACTATATTATCATTGCTTCAGTATGCCCAGTTTCTTGTTTTGCAAAGGTATCCTGCTGCATCAATATTGTTGTATTATAGCAAGGTTATTTAATTGTTGCACTGTCATTGATACATGTAGCTACATTTGCTGGTTTAGTTTTATACTATGTTATTATGTTGGTGCCAGAAATATATGTTAATGATATATATATATATATATGTAATTGGTATTGTTGAAAGATTGCACACTTCCTGGACTTGGTTAAGAATAGATCTTGTTACTTATTGTTGAACAGACTTTTAGGCACATACTAGTATATGGGTAAGATCAGACAAAAGGATAAAAAAGTGAATTTTTTTAAATAAAATAAGTCACATTGTTTAAAAAGTTCTTCTTCATTTAATCTTGTTATGTATAAATACATCTACGTGGATTGGTGAATTTACAACAGTTTCAGAGAACAAAGATTTACATATAAATATATTCAAAATCATCTGACTGCAAAAGTGGATATAGTTGCATTACAGCATACTATGTTATACCATGTGCATACATGTATTTGCAACCTGGTAAATTTGTTGACTTAAAGGTGAGTTGAATTTATATATATACCCAGTATATTAGAGATGTACAGGGAAAATGTAGTGCATTTGTATGGAATATTACATGTATTTATTTATTTATTGTCTGTTTGTTTATTAGACTGTTCAGATTTATTAGACTATTCAGATAGTGATCAAATAGAATTTTTACAGATAGGGTATTTTTTTCACTCAGATCTACTTTTACTACATTGGTGCATATCTATATATATATATATATATATATATATATATATATATATATATATATATATATTTAATTTATTTATTTATTTATTTATTTTTTTTTTT